AAAGTTACCGCCGCGAAGGTGGCTGAGATCCATCAGCCGCTTCTTCTCGAGGACCTCATCGACGATCGCCTTCATCTGCTCCGCGGTGCCGACGTTCTCCGGCTGCACGAACGGATCCTGCAGCATCGTCGAGGCCCCTGGGCGGGTGTTTTTATCCTTCGCGAGGAGCCGCTTGAGGAAGATGTTCATCTGGGGCGACCACTGATCCTTCTTCTTCAACACCGGGGGATCCTCGCGGGGGATTTGGAAGACCGCCCGCGCGACGTGCATCCCCGCGTGCGGCGGGCCGTTCTCCGCCATCTCGATCAGCGTGATCCCTAAACTCCACAAATCCGCGCGGTCGCCGTAATCCATCTCCAAAATCGCCTCCGGCGCCATCCACAAGACGGTGCCGATGAAAGTATTCCGCCACTCCATCGAGTGCAGCAGCTCCACGCTCACGCCAAAATCCACCAGCTTCACATGGCCGTCGCGGGAGAGCAAAATGTTGCTCCCCTTCACATCGCGATGAATGCGGCGGTTCGCGTGCAGGTACTCAAGCGCGAGCAACACCTCCCGACAGACATACGCGATGAGCTTCTCCGGAAGCGGGTGGCGTAGTATTTTATAGATCAAATCGACGGAGCCGCCCTCGCAATACTCCATCACGATCCACAATTTCCCAAGGGATTGATAGGTCCCGTAGTAGCGCACGATGTTGGGATGCTCACAGCTCTTTAAAATCGTGATCTCGCGCTGAATATTATCGACCTCGGACTTATCCATCATGAGGACCTGCTTGATCGCCACGATTTCATTCGTGAGGCGGTTGCGGGCCTTGATGACTACTCCAAAGTTCCCGCTACCCGCATTCTCCAACTCTTCAAAAAGCTCCTCGGGATTATCCGGAAGAATCTCAACGCCATCTAAATCTTTCCCCTGCATGATATTTTATCCTATGTCAACAGGATGCAAATCAACCTTCAAAATACCCACCGGCCGTACTCACGCGAAGAAAAAGAAAACAGAGAAAGGAAGAGGTACGAGATTGGCAGTGGTTGCTGCTCATCCCTTACACAGCCAAAACGTCGTTAGATGGTAATTCTTGAAGAATGAGAAATAATCATCATCATAAATTAGGAAAACCCAGAGCGTGGTGCGCGCCCACACCACAACACGGAAGCGAAAGCCCCACATCGCGGTCGGGCCTTTTGGTACCACCCAGGATAAAGCCGGTAGAAGCTGCTCACACGATTGACTAAAAGCAGTCCATCCGTGCGGGGCTAACAAGGAGAGGGAGGAAAACACTAATAACAAATTTAAACGGAAAGAAGAATTATTTTTTTATGGTTATACTTACACTGCCCCATCATCAGCCTCGTCTCCACAGAACTCGGGAAGGGGGGTTACTTATGAGCTCCTGTTGCCCTCCCCTCCCCCTCCCCCCCTATCCACACGCTCTTCCCTCCTCCTCCTCCTCTCAGGGCTCTAGTTTTCGCATCTTTGTCAGATTCTCCCCCCCTTCCTCGACGAGGCTAGCGTCCTTCGTGGGAGGATCTTCCAGGCCCATCGGATCCGTCGTCTGGCTTTCCCAAAAGGCTGGGGGCAGGGTAAAACTCACGCAAATCATCCGTTTTGTCGGCGCGACGTCGCGCACGAGATGCACGGCCTCGCGATTCTCTTCCGGGAGGGCGTAGCCGAGGTGGTGCTCTACCTGCCGCACGGCATCCGCCAAAACATCCGCCGCGGCGGAAAAGCAGTAAACGTGAAAGAGAAGACGACGATCGGGCGATCCCACCCGCCGCCGCCACGGACTTTTCCCATCCGCGGGCGAAAAGACGTCGAGAAACTCCACCGCCAGGGCGGGGAGATTCATCACGACATGCGGGCGCCCTTTTACCCTCCCCCCTCCCGTTTCGCCCATCACCTCACGGTAAACCACCTCCTTGAGGAAAGCCCTCCCATCCATGTTGTAGATTCGAATCCCCGCCGAGCCGTCCTCAGAGAGCTCGCGAAGGTGATTCAGCCGCGCGTTCCGCCGGGCAAAGTCGGCGGCGACGGGGTTGAGGTCGTTCGCGTGGACGACGACGCCACGCCGCGCGGCGGGGATCGCGAAAGGCCCCACCCCCGCCATCACGTCAAACAGCACCTCGCCGGCGCGAAGGCCCGCGACCAGCCGCGTGTGTTCGTGGCTGAGGCGGGAATTCCAATACACGCGGTGGTAGGGAACGCGAAAGACGCAGCCGTGCTGCCGCACCGTTGCCGTCAAAAGCGCATCCAAGGCCGCCAGATCCGAGGGGGATGGGGTAGGGGAGGCCCCGGAGCCGCCTCGCCACGCGATCACCTCCATCGCGAACTCGCGATAGACGCTGGAGATGGCGTCGAGTTTATTCACCACCACCGTAACGGTGGGGTTGCAATCGAGGATCACCTGGCCGATGACGAATTTGTACGCCGCGTGGGGTTTGGAGAGGTTCACATGCGCGATGTGGCCGACCTGCTCGAAGCCGCTCAACGCGATCACCTCGCCCGCCTCGGCCGGCGTGGCGGAATCGAAAATCGCGCGTAAAATCTCCGGCATCGTGTAGTTTTGATAGGAAAGGACCACCTCGTAGGTGGTGAGGCCGACGTAGAGCCCCCCTTGGCCGCCATCACACCCCTCCGCGGCGCGGTTCAGCCGCTCGAGGAGATGGGGCGGAAGCGCCAACCGCCCTGCCGCCGCCTCGGGGGAAAGCGGAAGGGGCAGCAGCTGCGGTAAAACCTCCCCGGAGGGTGAAAGCGACGGGGGCTGCAGCGCCGCCGGGGATAACACCGCGGGATCGATGAGAAACAGCTTCGCCGCCCTTTCCGTCTCCCCTTCGGGTGCGTCCTTCGGTGTTTCTTCCCTGGCGTGCTCGGAGCCGCCTGCCGGCCTCGCCCTTTCCAATCGCATGCGGGGAAGAAGGGTGTTCACGACGTTTCGCACCCCGCGCTGCGTGAAAAGCGTACCTCGCAACGCCTTCAAAACGATGCCGGTGTGCTCGCGAGGGTAGATCACGACGGCGGCGAGACGCTTGGTGGTGTTAAAACGCTCTCGATATGATTCCGGAGAGCTCGGGGGACGACTCGACATCGATGGGGATCTCCTTTTGATCGTGTTTCCTCTATTCTTTGGTTGAATAAAGATGCACTCACTTCAAGGCTGGAATAACTCTTGGGGTTGGGCTGCCTGTTGTATATACTTTTATGATCAAAAGTTGGAAATAAAAAGAATAAATTATTATTCAGCTGCTGGGGGGAAGCGGGAACACCACGTGAAATCCTACAAAACCATCCAGGATGCATGTAAAAAACTGTAGCGCGATTTTTTATATATTTGGATGAATAAATAAATATCCATACACATTTACCGATTTAGGATTCACTACACACCACAGCTCAGCCAGCCAACAGGGTGGTGTTTCCTGGAGCCGCATTTTATTGACGATATTTGGTTCATCTTTTTTTTCGAGAAGAAAGCATGTCTTTCGATCTAATTGTTATGCGAAATAGGAACTTTTGGATGGATCGGGTGCATCTTTTTTTTTCTTATTCAATCAAATCTTCTAAGTTCATCAAATATGTATAAAGGGTAAGAGGGAAGTCAGGGCATATAGCATATCGTCCTCCTCCTTCCCTTCCCCTCCTTCGCCCCTCTCCTCCCCCCCCCCGCCTACTCACACACTCTTTACAACAAGTTCAGCGAATGGAGCTCTTGCACCGTCGGCCGTCCGAGTTTTTCGTACACGACCTGCACGCGATTCATGTAATCCATGGATTGCAAAAACACCATCTCAAACGCCATACGACGGAGCGCGAGGGTGGCGAGGTGCTTCGCGAACTCGCTCACTTCCGGCCGCGTCTCCACCGAGAGCAGCTCCCAGAGCAGCTGGCGGACGAAAAAGGCCTTCTTCTCCTTCCCCTCATAGGGCTTCCATCCGTAATACGCCTTAAACCGCGGCATCCGCAGCGCGTCGTACATCCGCTCCCCATTACTCCTCCCCCAACACTTTTGCGTGAAGTTCGTCATGATCCCGGCGGAGCAGGGGGGAAAGAGCTGGGTGATCAGCCGCGTGATCTCGCCTTTCCACATCCGCT